CTTTCGAGCCAACAAGAGTTATTAATACAAGTCGATAGACCGTGTTTCGCAATTGATGTAAAATAAAAAGAAATTATATCGCGTTTATGTCTCTCTTTTGTTTACGTTTGCGTCCTTGCTTCAGCTGACGTCATAGGAAAATGACGTTCACGGACAATGGGACCAATTAGGGGCCACTTTAGAGTATGGTCTCACTGAAATATCATAACCTGGACACGGTAACAGGACACTATACCCGGTCGCATCAGATATTTCAAACCGGCCAAACAGTCCTTACACTTACAGTCAGCCATTCAAAACTGAAAGCCAAGCATAGAGCTGTTATAGTTTCGGTCTGGGGAAAGAGACCATAACCGTCCTCGCTTGGGCGAACCCTGGCTTACCTCCAGTCCAAGGTCCAAAAATCAATGTTTTGCAAAGTAAAGTGCAAGTAAACAAATAAGGAGTCATTAGAAGGAGAGAAAATATAAGTATCCCAAATTCTGCAAAGGGTGAAGCAGATTTATTTAGATAGTGTTTCTATCCCAAAGTAGAGGGCACAAATATCAGATTCTGCATGGGGGGGTCTCATATTAGTCGCCTCATACAAAACATGCAGTGTGTCACGACAGGTATATATTTTTTCTTCATCCCCGACCTGCAGGGTTGATCAGTGTGTGGTAATCGTCATCGAGAATATTTAAATGTGTAGGCCGTTTAGCCTTCGTCATACAGTAAATTGAACTTCAGTAATGCAATTTATGCATACGATATTTCAATATCCATTATCATGCGTAAAACTTGATCGAAATTAAAACCTATCTATTAAATATTTTTTTGAAAGTGAGAGCCACCATTATACTTAATAACTCACTAAGGGAAATAACTTGAAATCATAAATCAGAATTCGAAATTGCCTTCATATAACCTCATTGATCGAGAATGTGATAAAGATACGAAAACACGATATCGGGTTTGTTGATGATGCTATTGGCCGTTTGATGATTGGCCGGGCCTTTGACTGTGATCCCAAACCATGGCTGAGGACATGCAAGAAGGATGTCGATCCGGGCTCTGATAGGGGGCAATTTACTTAAAACGTATATATATGCTAATAAAGGCCTAACTTATGAACAACGAACATTGCTGGCTTTACACAACTTTGACATGGCCGCTTTAACTGTGACCAGAGTCCACAAAAGTGAGTTTAAACCCAGGTAAATAGATTTTTGGTAAAAGCAATAAAACGAAAATAGGAAAAATACCATAGCGTCAACACGCAAGAAGATAACATAGCTTCAATACGCACCTGGTGTTCTTGCATACACGGACAAAAATGCCAAAGCATCAAGTCAACTTTTTTTATGAAAATATAACATGCCTACAGTCTACGATTATATACCAAACGAAACATAAAAAAGTGTTTTCCGTGGAAATTAGAAGTTTACTTTCATTGATATATTGGTAGTGGCTCAACCACCAAATCCTGGTACGTCCTTAAATGACCATAGCTATCAATAGGACATAAAACACAAACAAATCAAAACAAGCCTTTTATAAAAAAAAAAAATGGTCGATATCAACTCAGGTACACGTATAGGAGAATAGTTTCAACAAAGAGAACAGGCAATACAACCAAGTTAAAACATGCTTAGCACACTGTATCGTTCACTTCAACAGTGAACAAATATCTAATATCAAAATTTATTTATTTTACAACAATTATGAAACAAGTAATTTCAACTTATATGAATCACTCTTGTTTGCCCGGATGTTAGCTCGCGAGGGGGGAGAGGGCATGTCTTAATGTGGGAGAAACCGGAGTTTCGCCAAGGCTCGCAAAAATAAAAGCTCCTAAGACTCGTTTCATTCATTTGTAAAATCTCATATGAAAGGAAAACTCATTTTAGATCCTGTATTTATTACACCAGACGTCATATTACAAATGACGTTACATTCCACGTGACTTAACATTACATGTGACGTTACATTACACGTGACGTCACATTACACGTGACGTTACATTACACATGACGTCACATTACAAATGACGTAACCTTACATGCAGTGTCCCATTAAAATGATGTTAAATTACACCTGATGTCACATTATATGACGTTACCTTACACATGACGTTACGTGTGTATAGTATTTGTTTATCTAGAATCACAACGTTACATTGTACTTTAAACACCATGTGTTTACATAGAGTAACACTGTTATTATAGATGTCTCGTGTCTTACAGAGTGATAGTTATTTTTGATATTACCTAATTGTATGAGGTAACACTGTTACAGTTATATCATGTGTTTATCTAGAGTTAACTGTTTTTCTTAATATGACACCCTCAACTGGATCTGTTGTATAGTATTAGCCTTATTGTAATTGGAACAGACGGTGCTATTTCAAGGGAAATAATCGGTTATTCATGCGGTTCAAGCGGGGAATTGCTAGTATAGTTATTCACTGCATTCCATTCTACGGCTGACAAGATTTGACAATTTAAGCTATTTTGTTTGAGATTATCCGCTAATCCCCCTTTGGCAGCTTTGGGAGATTATCATACTGAGTATACGTTTCGTCACTTACACGTGAAGGGTTACGGCTTAATTTCGCCTCATTGTTTATCCTTTGTTAGGCACAAGTAACGAATGTTGTTCACGCACAATCTTGAATCTGTTTAAGAGATTTAACATCTGTTATTGGTGGCCGAGATTTGGTTTTGTGGGACACGGTTTTCAAATTCAGTAGCGTTTATTAACCTTTCTGGTCACATTCTAGAGAATTTTTTTCATAAAATTTAAGGATAATCTTGTACTGAATGTCGTGTTGACGCTGAAGTTTAAGGGTTCCCATACCACTGCCAAAACTTTAACGACGCATCAGAAACTATTTTTTCGGCATAAAATTGTAAATGCCTCAAATGGCACATGTATATTTTAGTGCATCGATTCGAAATTGCATGAGTACATATGTGCATATCAAATCGCACGTGTATATTTGAGTGCATTATATCTCACGTGTACATTTTAGTAGATCAAATCGCAGGTGTGCACTTAAGTGCACCTAATTGCACCTGTATATTTTAGTGCATCTTATTGTACGTGTATATTGTAGTGCATCTTATTGTACGTGTATATTGTAGTGCATCTTTTTGTACGTGTACATTTTAGTGCATCTCATTGTACGTGTATATTTTAGTGCATCTTATTGTACGTGTATATTTTAGTGCATCTCATTGTACGTGAATATTCTAGTGCATCTTATTGTACGTGTATATTTTAGTGCATCTTATTGTACGTGTATATTTTAGTGCATCTCATTGTACGTGTATATTTTAGTGCATCTTATTGTACGTGTATATTTTAGTGCATCTTATTGTACGTGTATATTTTAGTGCATCTTTTGCCATACTATATATTATACGTTTTACTTTGTCCCTTAGCAGGTTTAAACAGGATCTTTTTTAATCTCTCTTAAAATTTAATCGGACTGATCTCTTTTACATATTTTTCCGATGTTTACCAAAAGTCAGCAGTTTTGCGTAAGATACATATTTGTGTACGCAATGTATGGTATGGAATGTGTAAATATGATTGCTTAGTCATGCCAATGGTGGTTCGGTAGTGATGTAAACCCGTGGTTCGGTAGTGATGTAAACCCGTGGTTCGGTAGTGATGTAAAACCGTGGTTCGGTAGTGATGTAAAAGCGTGGTTCGGTAGTGATGTAAAAGCGTGGTTCGGTAGTGATGTAAAAGCGTGGTTCGGTAGTGATGTAAAAGCGTGGTTCGGTAGTGATGTAAAAGCGTGGTTCGGTAGTGATGTAAAAGCGTGGTTCGGTAGTGATGTAAAAGCGTGGTTCGGTAGTGATGTAAAAGCGTGGTTCGGTAGTGATGTAAAAGCGTGGTTCGGTAGTGATGTAAAAGCGTGGTTCGGTAGTGATGTAAAAGCGTGGTTCGGTAGTGATGTAAAAGCGTGGTTCGGTAGTGATGTAAAAGTTACAGGTACCCTTTTACAGTTGTAGTGGATACATCTATATATTAATACAGCTTTCACCTCAAATAAACTAATGGAGAAAGGACACAAGCAAATGACACAACTGTGAATATATAAACGTACATGTATATATAAAAGGAGTCTGATACCATAAGCATAATATATTAGTAAATTTAGATATGCAAATAAAGATAAGCTTGATTCAAATCGTGAATATATGATCTATAAAATACCTGATTGAAATCGGCCTTTATTACATATAGTTTAACGTGGATGAACTTTTTTACTTCGTTGGTAGTGTTTCGATGTTATCGTCCTGCCACTTCGCAGGTGCGTTCCTGGTTTATTTTTATTTGCTAGGGAAAAGATAAACATGCGTTTGCCTACCTTTGGAAAGTTAGCTCACACGTGACCACCCTGTCACCACTTTATTCAATGTCATCAATTCTGTCACACATTTCATGCGCTGTGTATTCACGATTAAATCTTATTTGTACGGTAAGAAATTGTGGGAGGTGGACAGAGAACTCTCAGCCCTCGAGTTAAAATGTCAGCACCCTTGGTTTGAAATTTCTCTATTTAATGTCACCACACAGAAGTGATAGATTCAATTAATCTACCAAAGAATGTGTAAGCTTTTGCTTTTTGGGCATAGCGATGTAGCCCGTCTCAATTGAACGCTGGTGACAGGTGGTCATAATCTTCGAAATCCAAGAGTTTCGCTCACTTTGAGCACTGAGAGCTGAATCTCCTGATTTCGAAGACGACAGATCGTATGCGGTTTCCAGATGCACACGTTGTGTACAGTCTGTTGTGTACAGTCTGTTTACAAAATACGTAGAAAATATAAACAGAGTAAGCGTGCACAAATGTGCTCCGCGATAAACCGATACAGGTGAGCGTATACACATGGTTTGAACACACACGTGCATACCGCTGTTTACAAACTTCGCCAATATTAGGACCGTGGCAATCCTATTGTCCACTTACCTGTATCAAATCTAACCAATGCCAGCATCCTTACCTTATCGCTGGTACAGGTGAGACGCCGATCACGTGTAATCCAAGTTGGCTTCCGTTAGCATTAGTCGTACAAATGGCGGCTTCTCAATGGTGTTTAAAAATATAGTGGTGACAAGCGATTTACCCTGGGTTTGTGGTACTATTCATTAAACTTCACGCGTGACTTGGCAGGGTAAGAGAGCTGATTACGATGTACAGGTGAGATCCAAATGACCTTGACCAGTTACAAACAGGTGCCAAAGGCTACCGGGCATTGTTTACGCGGATACGACGGGACGGGTCACCGATCGCACTACCCGGGACGGTGTTATAAACATCCTTACGGACAGTGGCAAAACATGGCAGCTTTGTAGAGGGTATTATCACTTATGTAGGAATCAGTGCCAGATTGGATGTAAAGAGCATTCTCGGTTATATTGATCGATTGACGATATCACGTAAATGTGCATGCATTTTCATGCGCATATTAATTCGGTCTAATAAATCGTGCAAAGCTAATTAAATACAGAGATTTCTGCAACGCATGAAGTTAACAAATTAACACATTTTATTCTTTTCGATTTTTTTGAAATTTTTATCGGAAACATGCACCCGTATGACACGAAGTAAATAAAAACTGTCTTGTGATAGTTAGATATTAAAATGAAATGTATATTTTTTAATTTTTAATCGTGGTTTAATTCAGCAATTCGTGTATTTCAGTGTAAGAAAATGGAGGTTCTCCCTGGCATAAAATGGAATTAAAAAAGGATTTGTACATAACAGAACTAGCAGGCAGAAGTAACCATTTCTACTTATATTCTGAAACAACCAAATACGGAAATTTACAAAGTTCTAGAACACGCCAAGTCCTGTATTTTATATGAAATTAACACATGCTGCATTCATCAAGATTATGTTCCTTGCAAGAAAGTTAAAAGAAACTTCAATTGGAACACACTTGCATCTTAAACAAAGAGATCATGAAATGTCATGTTTGTATCTACAAAGGTCTGATGTTCACAATTCTATAGACGAAGATTTCTCGTAAAACGATATTAACGAAAGAAGTAAGACATTATCTGTAATTCCTCCAGTGTCTAATTTTAGAATCTTACGGGATGCTGTAAGACAACACAATATATAATAAAGTATGCATAAACATATGTCTGTATAAGTACATGCAGAAACTTTTAGGCAATACGGCAAACGCCGGTGATGTGCGTGATTTCTGTCGCCCCTTAAAGAAGCTTATGAATTGAAAAACGAAAACTAATATTTGTATTTTTCTTGTCAATTAGTCAAACTGTAAGTTATGTTTACCCAAACATTATGAATATGGTGTTTAAAGGTCAACTTATAAGGTCAACGACCATTCAATGACCAACCGTTGATCTGATATGACACGACAACTGTCCCATATGTATCAACCCGATGTGAACCCCAGGTATACAGAAAGTCTCAACCCGAGGGAAATATGTTTAAAGTTAACCACGAAGCTTTATCGAGGGCTAAACTTCACAAATCTTATCCCGAGGGTTGGGAATTCTCCGTCTGCATTACACAGAGGTGATTATTATTTCTCTGCTAGACATTCATACCGTAAAAATAAGTTGTAATGATAAAACAAAGGCACCGTCACCATCACCAACGGGATATGGAATGTGTGACAAAATTGATGACGCTACTCTGGTACATGTAACACTGCATAAAGTGATGACGCGATTGTGACTTTTTTAGCTTGTTAGGGAGAGACAGGTTTATTTTTTTTCTAACAGAAACGGGAATGTACCTGTGAAGTGTTGGAGAAATACATTTTACTTACTATAATCATGTACCAGAATAGATTTCATTTTAAATATATTTTATTGATTAAACAAAAGGATTGCGCAACAGACTTTGCCTATATAAGCTCTCTCCATGACTTCCAGGATACTTTTGATAGTTGAAGACATTGAATACAATATTTACATACATACATTATATTTATAGATTATACATGTAGATTTACAGAATAATTACTAGGTTTTGAGGGCATACTGCACGAACCGAAGGAGTTAGTTAGTGCATTATGCTTTCCGCTCTGAGACGATTTTAGCATATAATGCAAAAAAAGGGTTTTAAATCATTTTTAATGTTCTTCGATACAACAACAAAAACACTAGCAATAACAACAAAGAAAACAACAACAACAACAACAGGAAAAAAAGCAACAGCAGCAGCAACAACAATCTATAATTATTTCAGGTAAAAGATTAGAAGCATTAATGTTTCATATTAACTTCTATTCGAAATATTACAAACTACACAATTCATTTTAAAAAGGGCAAGGCTAAATCGAACTAATGAGACCGCGGTACCCAAGTGGTTTACGTGTGTGACCGTCTGCGATCACTAGCCCTCCATCACTGGGTCGCGGGTTCTAGGTCTACGTTGGGCAGTCGCCTGGTACTGTACGCAGGTCAGTGTTTTTTCTCCGGGTGCTCCAGTTTCCCTGCACTAGTAATAGGACGTTTAACAGAAAAATATCAAACCGAGCCAGATTCAGATTGTTTTATTCCTTGTGTAAAACACATTGGAGAGTAGACATACAATGACATACAAACAATACATTATATTACAAATTCACAATGATACATGTATCTTCTAATAGTCAAATACAATATGATGCATATTGTACAATGGCATACGTGATAACAATACAGTATATTACAATGAAATACTCATTATTCGTGCAGTACGACAAAAGGGCATATACACCATACGCGACAGCATATATTACACTAAAATACACTAACATCGTAAGGTATGATAAAGTGAAATCATAACAATAGTATATTACAATGATAATAAACAAATAAACTTGGTAACCGGTGACAGTGCCTACTACACGCTCTCTAGAATGGGTGTATGACGGTATCTTAAGAAACTTTACAATAATGTATGTTATCCTTAAATTCATTATCGTTAAACTGCGATTGAAATATGTATTTGACATTAAAACTAGAATCTACGAAAAATCACTATGACACATGCTGGAATCCTATGCAACGACGCTTGGAAGCTTATTTCCAATGTAGACCGTTACATATTGACTAGAGACGGACAGAATTTAAATTGAATTTAGTGAAAATTTTACGTCGCTTTGCCATTTAGTTTATACCTTTTCTACGACTGTCGTTCCGTACTGCTCCAGAATTGTGGTCCACAAATGTGACATTTCTACACTTTAACTGCCGCCGGGCACATATAGGTGTAATTAAGCTGTTGCATGATCATCCCCTCGGCACGGAAGTGTTCGGCTAATGGCCATGGTGATTATCATAAATAGAAATGAGACCACACAAGTGGAAGCTGTAAGGTTCTCTTTACAGTGTATAAATTTATAATGTTGGAAATAGGGATGACAGAGAGGTTGCTTAATGATCCCTGTCCCACTACAATCTGGTTTGTCGTATATAGAGTAACCTCCCCTTGATGTCTGGGCCAGGACACTTCCGTTGATCCAATAGCTCAGTTGGTTAGAGCGCTACTAGTATAACAATCTGAAGTCCCGGGTTCGAAACCCAGTCTAACCCAGATGAATTTGTTTTCACTCAGAACACTGCTGTTGGATATATTTTGTTTTTCTCATCTTTATTATCTCTCATAAAAGCCACGCAAGGTATGGTAATCTTTTCAGAAATGGCTTATCACAGCTATATTTATGCTGGAGAAAACAGTTTCATTCACCTACTTTCAGCACGGACTTATATCTAATCTAATTTCGTGTTTACAGTTTGAACTGTTTTCAGCTGGCATTTATAACCAATATAAGTTCCAATAAGAACGTGACAAATTCAACAACTCTGAATATGAAAGAGGATTGTTTTTTCTCATTTTAATCACCAGAATTAGCCCAGAAACCGCACAAAAAGTGTCGCAAGTACCCCATCTTGGCATCGCAATGTTTCGGTTTCGTGACGTCACCTCATTGTTGTCAACATATGACGTTCCATGTGGCTTTCATATTGACTATGAATGCCAACTGAAGCTGCTTATTTTATTCTCATAAAAAACTTAAAATGATTTATCAAAATTCATCATTTAGGTAAAATTAATGTATATGTATCGTGAATGTTTATTTGGTAAATAGAACTACGGTGGCTGATTTGTTCCATTTCGTTGACATGAAAGACGACTGAAGGAGTATTAAGGATAACTATTAATTGTCGTCCTTTCGGGGCGAAAAGACGAAACAAGGAAACGAACCAAATCAGCCACCTACAGAACAACCATTTTCAACAGAGGGTCAGTGGTATCCATCTTTATAATATGCGTCATCATAATGATGGTGTCAGTACGTGCAGGGATAATGGCATTTTTCGCGAATATGAATGCCATCAGTGCCGTAGAGCGGTAAATATAATGAAATAAATATACATACATGTATATTTATAATATATCAATACGTACAGTGTGACGGATTATATAGATGCTTGGTTTAAACATATTTTATTTCAAGAACACAAATGGGATTTAAACGTAACTGTTAAAAAGTGTTTGAAACTGTTTTTTTCTGGCATGACTAAAGCTTGATAAATCATTTCTGAAAAGAAAATCTTACCTTGCGAGGCCTCCAGTGTATATGTGAAATAATGAATACAAAATAAACAAGATACATAATCAACAGCAGAGTTCCGAGTAGGAAAACATTAATGACTGAAAATTGAAATAATTCAACCAAGATACAAGTTCAAAATTTACAAATACGTTTTTATTAGAGCCTGAAGTTGGTTCCTAGTTCCGTTTACGATAAACGGAACTAGGAACCAGATCCTAGTTCCGTTTAAAATCGAAATAACACTATCAATGGAACTTCGACCAAAATACTAGGTCTGTTCCAGAAAAAACATCATAGTCAGTCTCTAAAAATCGATGGGAACTCAAATCTGATTCAGTACAGGAATCGAACCCACAACCTTTAACTCGAAAAATAAGACTACCATAGCCTCTATAAAGTAATTGGTCTTATACGGAACTGAGATTCTAACTCCAGTAACGTTTTTCATAAACGGAACTAGGGTCTGGTTCCCAGTTCCATTTTTCTTAAACGGATCTAGGGTCTGGTTCCCAGTTCCGTTTATCTTAAACGGAACTAGGAACTAGGAACCAACTTCAGGCTTACTTTTTTTTTTTATTAAAATCGCTCCCTATGATATAAATTACAGCCATTATAATAAGTTCGGTATCAGTATTATTTCCTTTGTCGTGATATTAC